GAGTCGTTGAATAGAATTTGTAATTTCGTGTTATTATTGTGTTTGTAGAATTTTGAAGTGTGCATTTTAAAAATGTAAAAAACTACACATTTTGTAGATTCAGTGCGGAATTGAAGTGAGTATTTTTTATAATTTTAGATTGAATTTATACGTGCGTTGGTTAACAACCACTGTAACCTATAAATTTATTTGTGAAGCTAATTGATTTCATATAAAACTTTTTCAATTGTTTTTATTTAAAATTTCTTATTTGAAACAGTAAATAAAAAAAAGCAAAAAAATAAAATTAAAAATTTTTTATCTAAAATTTGGTACAATAAATCTTTTCAGTCCTGTTACTTAATTAAAATATCATTTTCAATAAATTACTCATATTTTTTATGTACTATTTTACAGTAATTTGTTTTACAAAGAAATGCCACGTCTTCGTGGAAGAGCAAGAAATATTGGTCGACGTACTCGAAACGCACAATTGGTCCATGATCATCGATTGAATAGAACAGTTGAAGAACACTTGACGGATAATGTGAATTCAAGAAATCAAGTTGCATCTTCACGTGAAAATGAAAATTCAGAGCAACGCAATCAACGTCTTCGTGCAAATGCATTAAGACAACGAGAGGCACGCCAACGAGCGACCAACGAAAACAGAGAACGTGACCAACGACGAATGCAAGATAATCGAGCATTGATACGAGCATCACTTAATCGTCTTGCATTTGAATATGACCCTGAAATAGACTATTCGTCACATGCACTAATCTTAATCGGTAGCATGGGCAACGAGTGTCAATATTGTCATGCTTTAAAGTACAAAGGTGAATCGCCTGGTTTATGTTGCGCATCTGGAAAAATTTCCCTTTCACCGTTAAATCCACCACCGGAAACTTTGAAAACATTATTAGCTGGAACCGCATCTCAATCGAAATTGTTTTTGCGGAAAATTCGTAAATTCAATTCTTGCTTTCAAATGACATCATTTGGAGCAACAAAAATTGTTCATAATGAGGATGGTCGTAATTTTGAATCTACATTTAAGATTCAAGGTCAAGTGTAACACCAAATTGGTTCATTGCTTCCAATGCCTAATGTCGATCCAAAATTCTTACAAATTTACTTTATGGGCGATGAGGAGCAACAAACTCATACACGATGCGTATACAACCATATAGAGCAGATGGAGGAACGAGAAATTGTCGACAATTTGGAAACGTGCTTGCAAAATCATAACCAATTTATACGATTGTTCAAGACTCTTTCCAGCAGACTGCAAAACGACAACTACGCCATTGTTATTAAAGCAGACAAAGTGCCCTATGGAGAGCACGCAGGCACATATAATGTTCCAACTGTTAATGAAGTTGCAATTGTTATGGCTGGTAACCCATGTGAATGTCGAGATATTCGCATACAACTCAGAGATAATACAATACAAATAATTCAAGACAATCATCGTTCTTACGACACACTGCAATATCCGTTGATATTTTGGGAAGGAGAAGATGGCTATCATTTAAATATTAAACAAAGGAATCCAACAACAGGCACAACTTATAGATTATTTTATAATTTTTTTTAACCAATTATTTCTGTTTATCTTATAAATAGTTTTTTTTACAGGTGAAGAACTAATCAAGAAAGTTAGTGCAATGAACTTCTACGCATACCGGTTGATGATTCGTGAAAATGAAGATAACATTCTCCGATGCAGACAGCTATTTCATCAGTACATTGTTGATATGTATGTAAAAATCGAAAGTGAGAGATTGCGTTATATAAAATTTAATCAAGCGAAACTTCGTTCTGAAGAGTACATTCATTTGCGTGACGCCATAATCGGTATTGTAGATGCAACGAATGATATCAACAACATCGGTACCGCATATATTCTTCCATCATCATACGTTGGTAGTCCGCGTCATATGCAAGAATATATTCAAGACGCCATGACTTACGTACGCGCATGCGGCCGACCAGATCTTTTTATCACATTTACGTGTAATCCAAACTGGGATGAAATTAAAAATTTGCTGTTATCAGGTCAAACATCGATGCATCGTTATGATATCATTGCACGTGTGTTCAAACAAAAATTGAAATCCCTGATGAAATTGATTACACATCACTCGGTATTTGGTGAAACACAATGTTGGCTTTATTCTGTTGAATGGCAAAAACGAGGTTTACCTCATACGCATATTTTGATTTGGTTGGTGGACAAAGTACGCTCAGAAGAAATTGACAAAATTATTTCAACGGAAATTCCAAATCCGAATGTTGATCAAGAATTGTTTGACATTGTGACTACTAATATGATCCATGGTCCATGTGGTTCTCTCAACATGATGTCACCATGTATGGATAATGGAAAATGTACGAAACGTTTTCCTAAACCATGTCAAACTGACACTATCACCAATATCGATGGTTATCCATCTTACCGTCGTAGAGATGTAGACAATGGCGGTCAATCATATGAATTGCGTCTATCAAACGGTGTAAGAGTTGACATCGATAATCGCTGGGTGGTTCCATACTCACCATTGCTGTGCAAAACCTATAAAGCACACATAAACGTTGAGTTATGCAGTTCGGTGAAGTCTATCAAGTACATTTGTAAGTACGTTCATAAGGGCAGTGATAAAGCTATATTTGCTGTTCAAAATGTAAATAAGAATGACGAAATAACACATTATCAAATGGGACGATACATAAGTAGTAATGAAGCTATTTGGCGAATTTTTACATTTCCTATACATGAAAGGGATCCTGCTGTTGTACATTTGGCTGTGCATCTTGAAAATGGACAGCGTGTTTATTTCACAGAACAGAATGCACTACAACAAGCTTTAACAGCTCCAAAAACAACTCTTACTGAATTTTTCAACCTTTGTAATCGACAAGATATTGTTGGTGAATTTGCAAAGACATTAATGTATACTGATGTTCCTAAATTTTTTACATGGAATAAACAATCAAAAAGTTGGGAACCACGGAAACGAGGCACTCCAGTCCCAGGATTTGCCGACATAGTTATGACAAATACTTTAGGACGATTATATACAGTTCATCCTAAGCAACGCGAATGCTTTTTTCTGCGTTTGTTATTGGTTAACGTTCCTGGACCGACATCCTTCCAATACTTGCGAAAAGTCAACGGTACTTTATACGGCACTTTCTTTGATGCGTGTCGTGAGTTACATTTATTGGAGGATGATAACCATTGGGACCTCACACTTGCAGATGCAGCACTGAGCTCATCTCCACAGCAAATTCGTCAATTATTTTCAATAATATTGACAACGTGTTTTCCGTCTGAAGCATCTGCTCTGTGGAATAAATATAAAGACTCAATGAGTGAGGATATTTTGCATCGGATTAGAATTACTAATCAAAATCTCAGTATTGAATTCTCCGCAGAAATATATAACGAGGCATTAATAATGATTGAGGATATTTGTATTCTTATTTCGAACATGCCGCTCATAAATTTTGGCATGCCAGCGCCAATCCGCCAAGCAGCAGATATCATCAACAGCGACGTTCAACGTGAACACCAGTTCGATATGACTTCTCTGGCTACTTTTGTTGCTAACAATGAACGATTGCTTACTGCTGAGCAACGAAATATATATGATCAAATTAACGTGTCAATTGCAGCACAACAAGGTGGATTTTTTTTCTGGACGCACCAGGTGGCACTGGTAAAACATTCCTCATCTCACTGATACTTGCACGCATTCGATCTCAAAATCATATTGCATTGGCAATTGCTTCATCAGGCATTGCAGCAACCTTACTTGATGGTGGACGGACAGCGCATTCAGCACTTAAATTACCTTTGAATATTCATACCAATCCCGAAGCAATGTGTAACATAAAGAAGCATTCAGGCATGGCTGAAGTTTTGAGAAAATGTAAAATTATTATCTGGGATGAATGTACAATGGCCCACAAGCATTCGCTTGAAGCTCTCGACAGGTCCCTAAAAGATATCAAAGATAATACTCGGCTTTTTGGTGGTGCTCTACTGCTGCTGTCAGGTGATTTCAGACAAATATTACCCGTCATTCCACGTGCGACATATGCGGACGAAATAAACGCATGTTTGAAAGAATCTTATCTGTGGCGAAGTGTCAGTAAATTATGCCTTACTCTTAATATGCGTGTTCAACTTCAAAATGATCCATTAGCGTCAAGATTCTCCGAACAACTGTTAGACATTGGCAATGGTAAAATTCAATTGTATGAAGATACACAATATATTCGACTCCCACAGAATTTTTGCAACATGGTGCCTACCAAAGAGGAGTTAATAAAAAGTATCTTTCCAGATTTGCCACATAATTATACTAATCATGCATGGCTACATGAGAGAAGCTATTTTAGCCGCAAAAAATTTAGATGTTGACGCAATCAATTTTAAAGTACAACAATCATTGCCTGGTAGTGAAATTACATTCAAATCGATTGACACTGTTGTTGATCCTGATGAAGTTGTCAACTATCCTGCCGAGTTCTTAAATTCACTGGATTTACCTGGAATGCCACCCCATAATTTGCGATTGAAGATTGGTTCACCTATAATTTTGCTTAGAAATTTGAATGCTCCGAAATTGTGTAATGGCACGCGACTGGTCATAAAAAAATCATGGGTAACATTTTGGAAGCCACTATTTTAAGTGGAAAATTTCAAGGTGAAGTTGTACTTCTACCGCGGATCCCAATGATTCCTTCAGATTCGCCTATTCCATTCAAACGTTTGCAATTTCCAATCCGCTTAGCTTTTGCTATGACTATTAATAAGTCACAAGGTCAAACAATGACAATTTGTGGCTTAGATCTAGAAAACCCGTGCTTTTCTCACGGTCAATTATATGTTGCGTGTTCCAGAGTTGGAAAACCCTCGAATTTGTTTGTGTTTGCTCCTGAAGGATTAACCAAAAATATTGTACATCTAATGGCATTACGATAACTTAAGTTCTTTTTAATTGAAAAAATATATATGTTATAAAATAGTTTAAGTTTTCTTTTTTTTTACCTTTAATTAAAATAAGTTTAAGTTTTGATTTAAAACAACCTCTACATTTAACTTCACTGATAGTATACACATACTCACACTCTATCGATTGGTCGAATTGTGATAAGATATATAAAATGACGTTAATATGATAACTTTTTAATAAAAATTTGCATCAAAACGATCCAGATTGTTACAGCTTATTCAAAAAAATTTGAAATTTTCCAATTAATGACGTGTGTACAGGACATCGTCTGTCGGGTCCGCTAGTATTATATATATTCTACTAAATTAAAAAAAAAAAGTTAAATTTCAATGCTGTAGTTGTAGTTCATTTATGATTGGCAACGGCTGGGAAACATCCGATGATCCAAAGACATGCCATCACAATTTTGATCCCCTGCAGAGGTCATGGCACCCCCCGCTTCAGTAGTCCGACGACCTGCACGTGAAGTCGAGCACTTAGCGGTAGAACAGTTTTACGAGGACCCATACCTCACGACCTCGGTCCCTACGCAGACTGATCCACGTGGTCACCCACCTGCACACTGACCGCAGCCAGTGATGTTTTATTTATTTTTTTATAACCGTCGTTGAACAGCCGACCCAATTTTTTGGGTTTACGACTACTAATGTTCAACTCCGTAGCCTTGTAATTTTGAATCCAATCCAGAAGACAAGGGAACTCCTGGATCAAGTATTGGGAGAAATTTTGGCTCCGTGGAGGACTTTTTGATGGAACTAACCGGCATTTGCGTTACATGGAGAGGAAGACCACGAGAACTCTCACGGCAAGGGGACTCAAACCCATGATCTGTCTACCACTGAGGATATTTCACGTCATCTCTGTTGTCGGTGCAAGCAGGATGTGGAATTCGTATCGACCAGCCATCGCCGGGATCGAACCCCAGTTCACATCATTGGAAGGCGAACACTCTATCCCCTGAGCCATCGCGGCTCAGCCAATGATGTTTTATTTTATTTTATAACCGTCGTTGAACAGCCGACCCAATTTCATGGGTTTACGACTACTTACGTTCAACTCCGTAGCCTTGTAATTTTGAACCAATCCAGAAGACAAGGAAACTCCTGGATCAGTACCCCCAGAGGTATTGATTTGTTGTGGGAACATGGAGGACTTTGAGACTTGACAGATTTAACGTGCATCAGTCACCATTTACTACATGGGGAGTCTTCGACCGGCGAGCATCGAACCCACGACTTCTTGTATATGGGCCCAGCGCCCTACCGACCAGGCTATCCCGGCCCCATCGAGCCAATGATGTTTGACTTCAATGATCTGCTGGGAACCGTGTCTTAACGATCAGTCCGCTGAGGAACTTAAATTTCAATGAGCTGCGTTCATAATTTCGCCAAATTCAATATTTCGTTTTAGCTCAGATTACAGGTCAGGCGATTTTTCCAGATGATAAGCGATTAATAATGGTTGGAGTTAAAGCTTTTTTTCCCCATCATACTAGCCGTGCATTTTTCTATATATATCTTTGCGTTTTCACGAGTCTATGATTTGAATCATAGATATGAAGAGATTCTGGACTCTGCGCGGCAAAACAAAACAAGAATACAAAACTAAAGTTGATGCGTTTTCAGAAATAAAAGAATATATTTTTAAAAAAGATAAAGAAACTGCAGACTTTACAGAATTTCTCATTTTATAATAGGAAAGGAAAAATCTGTTTTATAAAAGTATTTCTGTGAGATAAGTAGCATGAAATTCTCTAAGTAGCGCATTTTTAAGATTTGTAGCTTTTGAAAAATAATGAGTAGCCCAAAAGTAGATGGTAGCCCAAATTCGATTTGTGTAGCGGGAAGTTTTAAAAGTAGCCCAATCCGCTACTTGTAGCCCAATCTGGCAACACTGGCCTGGTTGGTAGGGCACTGGACCCATGTCCAAGAGTTCGTGGGTTCGATCCTTGCAGGCCGAAGACGGAACATGGTTTAGTGTCCCTTAACCGTTAGGCTTACCATGGGAGGTTTTCGTGCGTTTCCTCTCCATGTAACTCAAATGCGGGTTAGTTCAATCAAAAAGTCCTCCACGAAGGAATATTTCTCCCAATACTTGAACCAGGAGTTCCCTTGTCTTCTGGATTGGTTCAAAATTATAAGGCTTCGGAGTTGAACATCAGTAGTCGTAAACCCAAAATTGGGTCAGCTGTTCAAAGACGGATATAAAAACTTGTATGATTTTTCTTATGCATGTTAGTTTTCAGGTTCTTAAGTTAAGCGGCTTTTTTTACTTTTCAAAAGCTTTTTTGCAGGGTTGTATTAACTGTAAGTAATTAGGACTCCATAAACCCTTTACAAACAATTAAATTAGTGTTTATTTTTATATGATATACCAATTATTGATTTTAATTACTATCGGGTCAGGGGATGTGTTAATATGGGAACACTGTAAGGTTTTTAACATTAAACCTCGGAGAACAGCAAAATATAAGGTTTCAGACTATGAAAAAGAAGGAAAATTTTTATTTTCGATACGATAAAAAAAATCTTTCATAAAATATACTAACTTTAAATTCATTTTTTTGCATTGCTGATGCTTAAAAATATTTAGGAGTACGTGATTTCAATGAAGATACAAAGAGAAAATTTATAATTATAATTTAACTTTCTCTTCAGTGTAAAGTTGACTACAATGGAAATATGGATGAGAATTGCAGGTAAGTTTACTTATTCTAAAATAATAAATAATCCCAGAACTCTAGCAAAATAAAACGATACAACTATTTGAGTAATTCGGCATAACCAGCAAAATCCTTTTTTCAAGTTTCGACCCCATTAGATGAGGAGTTAGTTGCAGTTTTGAAGATGTGGTCTTAATAGACTGGAGTGAAAAATTAAAGGTGATATGGTTTTTCTAATGCATCGTTACGCAAATGCGTTCTATGTCAACACAAATAATATCAGAGCATGCCCAAGTCATAAAGATATGGGAAAACTTATCAAAACAGAAATTCAATGAATAAAAAAGAGTTGTATTAAAAACTTAACATCGAGTTTAATTGGATTGAAGACTGAAATTCTTTAGTGGTAAATGACTAGAAAAGAAAGTTCCGACTTGAATAGAAGATATTTAATCAAGATTTATACCGACTGCTAATGCAAAGTACAAGCGTACCATAGAGTTATGTCCTGTTGAAGTACTATTTGCAGCTTTGAAAACGTCTGCAATGTGCCTTAAGCATCTTCCTAGAGTCTCGCGCATACGTTAAATTGAATTAGATCCGGGAACCTTACCAGCAATGAAAGATTATGCAACCGGTTCTACAAAAAATAAAGCTTGCGAAAGCAATTCATTTCTAGTACGTACTGCATAAATATTATAACCAAAAAATTCTATAAGTAGCAGAATAACTATATATTAGTATTAAAATATTGACTATTAACTATTTAACTGTGAACTGTTTTAATATATACGTTTTACTATTTGTCTCAAATTCAATATTTTTTAGTTACGCATCTTTTTAGTTACAGTTGTCTAACCCTCTTTTCTCAGTTTCTATTGCACATAGATATCATTCTCTTACAAAAAGTACTTTGAAAGATAAAGCTTTAAAAGTGAAATAAACCAATAAATATTGCTTTTTTGTCGCAAATATATTAATTTTACAAATATATTAATACAATTTATGGAGAGATGATCGGTTAATTTTTTTTATCATTATTTGTTTCAGAGTAAGTTTAATAAAGATTGAATATTCCTTTCGGCAGTTTAAGCTGAAACGACAAATTTACCAGCCACAGTATAATGTAAGTATAAAGGTTTTGAAATATTTTTATAAAATTTATTTTTTATTCTTTTAATTATCTATTAATATATATATAT